TCACAGCGTCAGAGACCGAAGTTTGATTCCACCCTTAGGCGACTGTCTGTGTGCAGGGCGCACAATTTCCCCATGTGTGGGGGTTTCCTCTGTCCTCTGGTTTCTTTCTACAGTCCAAAGATGTGCCATGCTAAATTGCCTTTAGTGTCCAGGGATGTGTAAGTTAGGTGGATTAGCCGTGGGGAAATGCAGCGTTACAGCGATAGGGTGGGCAGGGCATTGGGTCTAGATGGGATCCTCTTCAGAGGCTCCATGGATTTGATGGGCTGACTGGCCTGCTTCTACACTGCGGGGATTCTGTGTTACTCCGAGTTCAATGCAAGTTTTTTTTTAAAAAATAGCCACTTTCCATCCTAGATAGAGACAAAAGGAACAGTGGAATGATGCTGTTACTTTGCCAAGTTAGATGATATTTAGTGGTCTCGAAATCGAATGGTGAAAAAGCCAGCGGCAAGCAGTAAGGAGTTCAATGTAAAGTGTGAATTGTACACTTTGCTATCTTTCTGTATTCCTCATGCATTCTAAAAACAGCATAAAAAGTGTAGAAGAGCAGAGAATCCCTGGTGTCTTTATGCACAAGTTCTTAAAAGGAGGCACAGCTAGTTCATCAACTGTAAAATAAAAATGTATATGGATTACTTAGACAAAGATCTGCAGGGCAGAAGCGCAGAAATATTTTCCCCAGACAATCATCAGTATCTGGAACATTTTACAGAACAGATGGAGTAAGTAATTTCCATTTGTGATTTGAAGGGGAGATAGGCAGATTCTTGAGATTGAGTAAATTACAGGATGACAAACAATAAGCAAAACGAAACTCAGCACAAGTACTCTTTCAAAGAGACAACACAAAGTACAATGGCAAATAGTCTCCTTTTGTTCTATAAGTATCAATGATTCATTAAACAAAATAAGTCAATAATTCAGATAACTGACTGGATAATGAATAATTTTAGGAACATAGGAACAGGAATAGGCCATTCAGCCAATCAATCCTGCTGTGCCATTTAATACAATTGTATCTGTTTGAACACTTCAACACCTTTTACACTCACTATCCCAAAACCCTTGACACCATCAATAATCCAAGAATTTTTCAGCCTCTACTTTAAATATACTCCAAGACTGACATTCCATGGCCCTTTGGGGTAGAGAATTCCAAAGATTCAACACTCTGAGTAAAATAATTTCTCACCGTTGTCCTAAATGGCATCCCCCTTATTTTTGAACTGTGCTCCCAGTCTAGATTTCCCAACCAGGGACCAGAGAAACATTACCTGCATCTATTCTGTCTACCCCTTTTAAGTATTATGTAGGTTTCAATGATATCACCTCTTATTCTTCGAAACTTTATAGAGAATACAAGTCCAGTTTGCCCAATCTCTTTTCATGGAATGTATTGGAATAAGGGTGTAACAGCAAACAAAAGGAGATGGAGCAAAGTCAAATAATATTAGAGATTCTATGGACAATCTTGAATATGAAGATGTGTGGTGGGTAATGCATTATTCATAAAGCTAAACATTTTGTTATCATTCACATGATAAGTATTGCTAACTCAGGGAACATTTATTGCACATCCCTAATTCTGATTCAGCCACATAATGGTCATCGTCATTTTCAATACAAGAGCCATTGCCAAATATATACAGTATTGAACACAAACAATGTCCCCACAAAGCAAACTAGTCAATGCCACCCCCCCATTCAATCCCCATGATCCTGCATGTTTATTTCCTTCAATTCACTAACTGCATTGAGTTTTTTGAACAAGTGACAAAGAAAATTGATGAAGATGGACGTTGTCTATATGGACTTCAAGGCGTTCAACAAAGTTCCACATAGTAGACTGGTTAGCAAGGTTAGATCACATGGAATCCAGGGAGAGCTAGCCATTTGGATACAAAATTGGCTTGAAGGTAGCAGACAGAGGGTAGTAGTGGAGGGTTGATTTTGGACTAGAGTCTTGTGACCAGCAGGGTGCTGCAAGAATCTGTGCTGGGTCCACTGCTCTTTATCATTTATTTAAATGATTTGGATGTGAATGTAGGAGGAATGGTTTGTAAGTTTGCAGGTAACACCAAAATTGATGGCGTAGTGGACAGCAAAGAAGGTTACCTCAAAGTACAACAGGACCTGGATCAGATGGGCCGAGGAGTGGCAGACGGAGTTTAATTTAATTAAATGTGAAGTGTTGCATTTTGGAAAGGCAAATCAGGGCAGAACTTATGCATTTAATTGTAGGATCCTGAGGAGTATTGCCAAACAACGAGATCTTAGGGTGCAGTATCATAGTTCCGTGAAGGTGGTGTCACAGGTACGCAGTGTAATAAAGAAGGTTTGCCTTTATTGGTCAGTACATTGAGTATAGAGACAGTAGGAACTGCAGATGCTGAAGAATCCGAGACAACAAGGTGCAGGGCTGGACAAGCAGGCCAAGCAGCATCGTAGGAGCAGAAGTATAGAGTTGGGATGTCATGTTGCAGCTATACAGGACACTGGTGAGGGCATTTTAGGGATACGGAGTTCATTTGGTCTCCCTGCTATAGGAAAGATTTTGTTAAATTTGAAAGGATGCAGAAAAGATTTAAAAATATGTTGCCAGGATTGGAGGGTTTGAGCAATCAGGAGAGGCTGAATAGGCTGGGGCTATTTTCCCTCGAATATCAGAGGCTGAGGGGTGACTTTATAGAGGTTTATAAAATTATTGGGGTGGAGGGGATGCCTGGATAGGTTGAAGAGCTAAGATCTTTTGCCCAGGGTAGGGGAGTCCAAAATTACACGACATTGGTTTATGGAGAGAAGGGAAAGATAATAGAAGGGATCTAAGAGGCAACTTTTTTCATGCCTGACTTTCCCAGCTCCCCAAGACAGATCCCCAGAACTCACTCCAAATCTTAACTGTGTACTAACTCTTATAATTTCTTCCTGAGTTCTAACAGCACACAGTCATCCAACTGTTTTTTTGGATTAGAGTCAACTAGATCCAATCCATCAATTCCTCACTAAGTCTCTCTGCTTGCTTTTTGTTTGTAACCTACAAATTTCTCAATCTCAAGTACCTGTCCATTTCCCCTTCACAGCTATTAATGGGAACCACTTACATCATCTTTAAACATAGAAACTAGAAGTAGGCCATTTGACCCAAATGGCTCTGCCATTCGACCCAAATGGCTCTGCCATTCAACTCATTGGCTTATCTTCTATGTCAATGCCATATTCCTGCCAATCCCCCATAATCTTGATGCCTTTAAAATCTAAAAGCCTATGTCTTTCTTCAACATATTCAGTGACTTGGCATCCAAAGCCTTTACGGTAGAGAATTTCACAGGTTCACTACCATTTATCTCAGTCCAAAATGGCCTACTCTGCATACTGTGACTGAGAGAACAGTTTCAAGCAGAATGTTCCAGATCCTGGTGGATCCACTGGGTTAAAATATTCCTTTGCATTGCCCCTTTAGATCATTGTCCACATAATCCATGAGCGGCTTAGAAGAAGCCTGTGAGCATTAATACCAGTGCAGCTAAAGAATGGTAGTTGAAAAGCTGGCAAACAGTATTTCAAGGCCAGATCAGCAAAAGTGAAGATTTTTGATTCCCTTCTGAAATCTGACGAAATTTGATGACACATTATTAGTGTCTGGAAGGAACTGTTGAAAAATTCTTGGGATCTGTCTTGATTGTATTTGCTTCAATGTACATTGCAGAGTATTCAATCACAGGCATATTTATCACCATGTTAATTCTGAGTGTTAGAAATGAGTGTTACATGTATTACTGTTCTAATATTGAACAGTATATTTTATTGCTCTTTGTTCAAAGCTGTAGAGTCTTTGCCATATTCTCTTAATAACTTCCCTGAATCTCACATTTCGGTTACAATTTAAATAAATTACTCATGCCTAGCCTCAATGTAGCATAAATTTAGCAGTCTGGTCGAGGATTGTAACAAGGTGGAAGTATGCCCTCTTAGCAATGTTCAGAGACTCAGGATAATACAGTTTGCTTCAGCCTGGATTTAATTGTAAGCTCCTTTGTTCAGGCCTATACCACTGGAAGTAGCAGTTCTTCTCTAACTACGTTATCAAACCCTTTAATCATACTAAACAGCAATCAATTCAATCTTCTATATTCAAGGGAGCACAAGCCTAGCTGAGAGTCTACATAATTTAGCCATGGTATTGCTCTGCGCTGCTCGCCTTCCAAAGCCATTACATCCTTCCTGAAATTTGGGCTCAGTAGTTAGCACCGTTGCTTTACAGCACCGGGGATCCGGGTTTGTTTCCATGCTTGGCTGACTATCTGTGTGGATTTTCCATGTTCTCCCTGCATCTGAGTGGATTTCTGCTGTTTCTTCCCACAGTCCAAAGTCATGTAGACTTGGTGGATTAGCAATGCTATATACTGGGTGATGGGGATAGAGTAGGGTCGGGGTGGGATGCTCTTTGGAAGGCTGGTACCGAATTAATGGGCCAAATAGCCTCATTCCACACTATAGGTTCTAAATTCTATGAAACATGGAGCCCAGAATTGAATTCAGTTTCTCAAGGTGGGATCAAACCAGATTACTGTACAGGTGGGGCATAACTTCCAGCCCTTTGTATTCTAACCACATTACAATAAAGGCTGTCTGCTAGCGCAACATTGAGAAAACAGTTGGATTTGATTTTCTTGGGTGCAAAGTGGATAATCTGACACCTCCCTATATTGAGCGTGCCGTTGTTTGTCCAGTGTGATTGAATGGAGAAATCAAGAAAGAAACTACAAAATAATCCATTACCACCAGTGACTTTCTCTCTCTTTTTAAAATATTACTCATTCAGATTTGTATTCTTTTATGTATTTGAAACTTTCAAAATGTGCACTAGATGCCTAACCTCAAAGCTGAGAGTCTGTTATTGCTCTGCATTCGAGGAAGAATGGCAAGCTTATAATATGCTCAGAAAGACAAGCTGACAACATATTTCACCCAAAATGCAAATAAGACAAAGTTTATACCAAGCTGGGCCTCTGAAGCTTGCGTCTGCTTGTGGCTTCTTGACTGCAACACACTTTTAATCCTCTGCAAGATGTAGTAGACAGCAATGCAGCTGAAGAGGATGTACCAGCCATATTCAGACAGAATGTTCAGCACCTGCGTCACTGAAAGGAAGATGGAAACATCTGTTGATACTATTTTTACAGTGTGATAAAGCAAGTGCAAACAACTGAGCTCAGGATCTGCTCATTAGACTTCATGCTTCTATTAGTCTATTAAAACCTGGTCCTCTTGTGGCCTGGAGCAAGCACAGCTGCCAGGCTCCCTACTTCTGATCCCTTCAAGTAGCTCCTGCTAGATTTGGGACAACAACTTAATATCCAATAGTTTTGCAACATATCTATAGATTTGTAAGTCTCTTTGAAAGTGATAGGAATTCTTGGGACTGTAATTGCAAAACATATGGCATCTTGAGTCTTCATCAGAATTATTGAAGAATTAAAGATGGAAGGGGGGGTGGGCGCAAAGATTATACTGAACTTTAATCAAGCTCTGATTGGCCCACATGCAGAGCCAATAGAACAGGATTTAAAGAGCAAAATTTTGGGCATGAAATGTAATTACAATTGGTTATGACCTGGAACTATCAATAATTTCAAAACGGAATTGGATGGACATTTGAAGGAAATAGACATACTAGGATCAAGTGGGGGGAATGGACTGCTCTACAGAGTCACATGGATTGAATAGCCTGAATGGCCTCTGTGTTAGGATACCTCCATGAGTCATAAATGATCAACATACATTTGGTTTGATGTATTTGATATATTATTGCCACATGTACTGAGATAGTGAAATGTATTCTTTTATGTGCTAACCAAACAAATCATACCTTACAAAGGTACAGCATGTTAATAGAACAGAATGCAGAATATGATGTTACAACTACAAAGAAAGATCAACCAAAATCTGAGAGGTCTGTTCGTAAGTTTGATAACAGCAGGGAAGGAGATGTTCTTAAGTCCATTGGTATGTGTTTTCAAACTTTTGTATCTTCTACCGTGTGGTAGACAGTATAACCGGGATTGGAGGGGTCTTTGATTATCTTGGCTGGTTTCCTGAGACAACGGGAAGTATCGACGGAGTCAAGTGGAAGGAAGGTCGGTTGTGATGAAGTAGACTGCATTCACAACTCTCCGTAATTTCCTGTGGTCTTGGGCAGGGCAGTTGCTATACCAAGCTGCCATGCATCCAACGTGTAACTATAAAAACAGCTAAGAGTCATTATGAACATGCCAAATTTCCTTTGTTTTCCGAGGAAGCAAAGGCCTCGGCGTGTAAGGACCAGGACAGACTGTAGGTGATATTTACTTTTATATGTTATATATACACACACACGATACTGATATCTTTAAATGTATGCATAAGGATACGAATCAGGAGCGGACATTGAGCTACAGTGCATCTGACTGTCACTAAATCAGGGTGTCATAACTGACAGCGGCAAATCTGCATGCAACCTCTCCTTTCTCCATATTCTATGCACGCCCCACAACTCCCCACTCCACATCCTCACACCAACCATCCCTTCCTCCATACACCCCCCGCCCCATTTACCCTGTTCCCTGTTCCCTCTTCCCTTTTATTCCCTTCTTTCTTCCAGCTCCTCCTCACCATTAACTCTGACCCCACTCCCCTATTTCTAATCCCTTCCCTCACTCACAGCCTCTAGCCACCTCCGGCTCCGCCATTGCTCCACTTCCGGCGCTGCACAACACACTTCCGCTCTTCTCCTCCATTCAGACGCAGCGCTGACGTGGCCCAATCTTCATGGTAGTGCCAGGCCTTAAAGCGGCAACGCAGCCTGAGGGTGTAGGCCCCACCATCTGGAACAGGACCTCGTTCTACACTCAACAGCGAAATACGAATGCAATTCGTACGGCAATAGAGGGATGTCAGACCCGAGTCCAACAATAACACTGGTACACATGACACTTACCAACGGGAGCCATCACTTTTGATCCTATTTCCATCTCCCATTGAATCACACAGTGGTAATGGGTCACAGCACAGAACGGCTTGTTCCATCTTGTGTGTGTCTGAAGGGGCAATTCGCTGCTTCCCCCAGCCCACCACATTTTTAATTTTTCAGATAAAATGCTTGTCTCTGAATGCGTCAATCGAAACTTCTCCCCTGCCATTCACACACCCATCCGCAGTGCAGCACAAGCTACATTGTTGTGTGATAAGGATTTTTCATGTCAATTCTGCTTCTTTTACCAGTTACCTTAAATCTGTCAACCAGTGGCTCTTGATCCTTTCACGAACTGCGACAGACTTTCCTCATCTAGCCTGTCCAAAGCCTTCATGATGTGGAGGTGCCAGTGTTGGACTTGGGTGGATAAGGTCAGAAGCTACACCACATCAGGTTGTAGTGTTTAATTGAAATCACAAGGTTTAGAAGTGCTGCTGCTTCACCTGACGAAGGAGTAACGGCTCAAAAGCTCGTGATTTCAAATCAGCCTGCTGGTCTATAATCTGATATTGTGTGACATCTGACCAAAGCTTCACGATTTTGAACACTTCAAACAATTCTGCTTTCAAATTTCCATTCTTCAAGGAAAACAGTTCCAAATTCTTCAATCCAGCCCCAGAAGTGAAATTCCTTGTCTATGGAACCATCCTCATGAACCTTTTCTGTACCCTTTCCAATGCCTTCACATTCTTCTTTAAATTACAGTGCCCAGAAAGGAACGTAATGCCCTAGTTGAGGCTAAACTAATGTCTTCAGCCTCCATACAAACATCAGTGAGGAGCAGGATACACCTTTGAGCTAGCTTCACCACTGAATAAGATCATGGCTGATTGTAACCTCAAATCTGCATTTCCACCTACCCTTGATAACCTTTCAAGACGTTGCATAAGAAGGATGTACCTACCGCTGTCTTTAAAATAAAATATCAAGCACTCGCCTTATATCACCTTTCATCTTTTCAAAAGACTGATTAATATTTCCTCCTCATCTGTTTCAATTGGGAAACACCTGATTTTTAAACAATGATCTCTGGTCTAGAAAGAGACACGTCAGTCCAACTAGTCCATGCTGACCGCATTCCCAAACTAAACTGGAACTACCTACTTGCATTTGGTCCATATCCCTCCAACCTTTCCCATTCATGTACTTATCCAAATGTCTTTTAAACAATGTAACTGTACCTGCATCAACCCAACCCTGACCACTGAACATCCCCTTGACCCACTCCCTGACACCAGACTACACCCAACCCTGAAGTGACCATCCACTTGACCCCAACCCCTAACCACATCCTGTTCTGAACTCAAATGGGTTTGTTTCAGATTTTCAGTATCTTGACAGCATTCTGCTTTCTTTCTATTCTATAGATTAAGTTCTCCCATGATAATTGTCACGCCTTTCTGACAAGTTCTCATTAGCATGTTTCCCTTCATGGTCAAATCATGATTACTATTAGGGAATCAGAACATCACCCCCACAAGAGATAGCAAGAACTGCATATGCTAGAGTCAGAGACAACACTGTGGAGCTGGAGGAACACAGCAGGTCAGGCAGCATCAGAGGAGCAGGAAAGTTGACATTTTGGGTCGGGTCCCTTGTTCAGAAATGGGGAGTGGGAAGGGAGCTGGGAAATAGAGGAGAGGAGGGGTGAGGTTGGGGAAAGTAGGTGGGATGGTGATAGGTGAATGCAGGTAGGGAGTGGTGGGGATTGATAGATGGGATGGGTGGGGCAGATAGTTGGGAGAGAAGATGGACAGGTTGTCAGGACAAGGAGGCAGGGATGAGAGGGAGGTTTGAACATGGGGTGAGGCTGGGGGTGGGGAGATTTTGAACCCGGCTAATTCCATGTTCAGGCCATTGGACTGTAGGCTCCCAAGGCAGAATATGAGGTGTTGCTCCTCCAGTTTGCAGGTGGTGTCATTGTGACACTGGAGGAGGCCCAGGATGGACATGTCACTCTGGGGGGAGTTAAAATGGTTGGCGACTGGAAGTGGGGAGTCGAATGCCCCATCTTGGGAGCAGACACCTCCTCTCATCCACCCACCTGCAAGAACGTAATCCCCTACTCCCAATTGCTCCGCCTCCACTGCATCTGTTCCCAAAATGGGGCATTCCACTCCTGCACATCCCAGATGTCCTCTTATTTCAAGGACCGTAACTTCCCCCCTCCGATGATCGAAAATGCCCTCAACCGCATCTCTTGCAATTCCCGTACTTCTACACTCACATCCCCTCCCCCAACAAAAATAAAGACAGAATCCCCCTTGTCCTCACATATCATCCCACCAACATTTGCATCCATCGTATCATCCTCCGCCACTTCCGCCACCTACAATCCGACCCCACAAACAAAGATATATTTCCTTCCCCACCCCTATCTGCCTTTGGTAGGGTCTGCTCTGTCTGCGACTCGCTCATCCGCTCCACACTCCCCACTAACCCCGCCACCCTTGGCAACGTTCCCTGCAACCACCGGAAGTGCTACACCTGCCCCTACACCTCCCCCCTTACCTCCATTCAAAGCACAAAACAAACCTTCGACATTAGACAGGTGTTCACCTGCACATCCGTCAATTTGGTTGACTGTATCTGCTGCTCCTGATGTGGCCTCCTCTACATCGGTGAGACCAAGCATATACTCGGAGACCGTTTTGTAGAGCATCTGTGCTCTGTACGCGACAAATACCACCACCTTCCAGTTGCCAACTATTTGAACTCCCCCACCCAGTCCCTGGGTGACATGTCCATCCTGAGCCTCCTCCAGTGTCACAATGACACCATCCGCAAACTGGAGGAGCAGCACCTCATTCCACCTCAGGAGCCTACAGCCCGATGGCCTAAACATAGAATTCACCAGTTTTAAAATCTCCCCACCCCTGGCCTCATCCCATGTCAAAACCTCCTTTTCATCCCCCCCCTCCTTGACCTGACACAACCTGTCCATCTTCTCTCCCACTAATCTACCCTACCCATCCCACTGACCAATCCCCACCAGTCCCTACCTGCACTTACCTATCACCATCCCACCTACTTCCCCAGCCCTACCCCTCCTCTCTATTTATTTCCCAGCTCCCTTCCCCAATTCTGAAGAAGGATTTAGCTCCAAAATGTCAACTTTCCTGCTCCTCTGATGCTGCCTGACCTGCTGTGTTCGTCCAGCTCCACACTGTGTTGTCTATCACTCCCACAAGAGATTCTTTGCCTTTATCATTTCTCACTTATACCCAAATTGATTTCATATCTTCGTTTCCTGAACTTTTTTATTGCACTAATACCATTATTGACTGACAGATTCACCCTTACACTTTTTTTTCCCAAGTTTTTGTCCTTCCTGCATGTCCTGTACTCTTCAAGATTCATGACCCAATCTGTGTAGCCTGTAGCCAGGTCTCCATGGTGGCAACCAGATCATACTTATATCTATGTGCTCTCAGTTCATCCGTTTTGTTTCTAATGTTACATGTACTCGGATATTTCAGCTTTTAGTTTTATTTTAGTTTTGTTCTTTTCCTCTCTTTGCAAATTTTAGACTCATCTGTTGGTTGATTCACAGTCCCTTAATCCTTCTCTGTCTTTGTAGCCTTGGCTGTATGCTTTGATTCACCATATCTTTCCATACTTGATCTCTTGCCCTCAGCTATTTCATTCTAAAATCCTGCCTACTTTCTGACTTGTGCAACTGGCAAGAACACTAGCTCCAGCATATTACAGGTAGAGACAGTCCCACTGGTACTTATCTCATTCTTCCTAGTACTGGTGTCAGTGCCCAATGAATCAGGACCCATTTCTCATACACCAAGCTTTGAACCATGCACACATCTCTTAAATCTGCTTTGTCCAATACAAATTTACACGTGTTTCAGAGATAGTAGGAACTGCAGATGCTGGAGAATCTGAGATAACAAGGTGTAGAGCTGGATGAACACAGCAGGCCAAGCAGCATCAGAGGAGCAGGAAGGCTGACGTTTCGGGCCTAGACCCTTCTTCAGAAAAAAGTCTACCTATTCTACTAACCGTTCTATGACCTTTTGAAGTTCTATTCTATCCTCCTCTCTATTCACAATAGTTCCTAGTAATATCCATAAATTCTGAAATGATGCAGTGCAAATTAAATCTAGGTAACAGAAACAAGGAGGAGTAGGGCTTTAGGCCCTTTAGTCAGCTCAGTGTGCGACAAAGGGCCTAATGGCCATTTTCCCCCATATCTGTTAACGCATTTAAAAGACCAGCTGTACACATCAGGAAGCCCAGGGGTTCCAGTACAGTTCCCTGGGGAACTCCACTATAACATTTCTTCCAGTCTGAAAACTACTTATTAACTGCTACTTTGTTTCCTGTCACTCAGACAATTTTGTATCCATGTTGTTACTGTCCTTTTTATTCCTCAAGCTTTAACCTTGCTCACAAGTCCATTCTGCCACCCTATCAAAGTTTTTCTGGAAGTCTATGTAAACCACATCAAAAACAAGCTTCTCGGTTACCTGTTCAAAAAAACACATGCGCAAATTAATTTAAAACAATTTGCATTCAACAAATTCATGTTGGTTCACCTTAATAATTCCACACTATAATTTTATCTTGAACTATTGTTTCTGGAAGCTTTTGCACTATTGCAGTTAAACTGACTGACCTGTAAGACCATTAGACTTTTCTGCCCATCGTGTCTACTTTGTCATTCAACATGGCTGATCTGATCATTCTCAAATCTACTTTCCTGCCTTTTCTCCACAACCCTCAACTCCCATGCTGTTTAAAAATCTATCTATTGCAGTTATGAACATACTTATTGATCCAGTCTCTACAGCTCTGTGCAGTATAA